TAAGATATTCTATAAGGCCACAGTAAGAAAAACAGTAGGGTTCTGCACCAGAATAACAAATAGACCAATGAAACAAATTGGATCACTCAAGACAGATCTATGTACATGAGGAAACTTAAAATGAGATGAGGTACTGCAAATCAATAAAGAAAGAATGGAGTATCTGGGGGGCTGTACTGGGAAAACTGCCCACTATATGGAGGAAAATAAAACCAGAACCTACATTATAACATATTCAAAAGTGGCCTCTAGGTGGATTTAAAGATGTGAATGCAAAAGGTAAAACTATAGAGGGAGAACAATCTTTGTGATCCAGAGATAGGAATAGAGAAGATACTGAAAGGAAAGGTTATAGGACAAAAAAGTGATGAATTTCAGCACACCAAAATTAAAAACAGGTATCCATCCTTGAGGGAATCATTAAGTAAAAGGCAGTAGGCACACCCCACGGTGTCTTTGGGACCAACTAGAAGCAAAGCACTAACATACACATGGCAATACAGACAGATCTTAAGAATGCACGGCTGAGTAATACGAAGTCCAGGAAACAGAATGAAGACTGTAATACTCTGCCATTTGTGTAAATTGAAAACACACACACTCGAAACAACACTACATATTTTAGAAGGATACGTTTCAAACACAACATAGCAGCTGCCTAAAGCTATGGGTATTGGAAATGAAAAAGGAAAAAATAAATATGGCAAGAGAAGGTCTTGTACCAACCTATGATAGAAATGTACCTTGAACTGGAAAAGTATGATTAACTCAAACCTCTGCACTTAAGGTCCTTTAAAAGCCAAAAGAAAGCCAGTGGCTTTATTTGGTAATAGTCTGAGACAAGTATCTTACCTACTCAAACTCAGAAACTGCCACAGAGCTCTTTCAGTGAATACCATCCAAAATCGAATGCCTTTCAAAAGACATTCTGAAATAAAGTCAAGGCTGAATAACACTAGAGGATGACCACACCTCAAGTTTGGGCTCATCACTTTTCAGAAAACAAAACATTATAATTCTATATTTTTGAAAAGGTGGTGGTAGCAGAAACCCTTTGTAAGACATTAAAAAAATTATTTCCTCCCTGACTTTTCATGAATCTACTGACTCTTAATAGAGGCTCTCTGGGACAATTAGGTCTACTTTCCTATACAACCTTTAAATGTCAGGAATAAATCATCTTCGTTAGAATCAAGCGAGGTGATCCACCAGTATGGTAAGGGTATGGCCCAGGATCTCTGTATTTCACCAAGTGTCCCAACTGTTTCTTGTTCGTACCAGAGTTTAAAAATAACTGTGTAAGAGTGTCCCATTCCAAGACAAGTATCACACCAACTTCAGCCCACCCTGTCCCTGAATCCTAAATCTTAAAAATGCAGTGCTGAGTAATACTATCTGACCTGGCTTGCCCCATACATTTTCTGGGCAAATTCCTGACTCTGAAGGCACCACTCCTCTCCATCCCTCAAACCCAAAGCTACAGCCCACACCTCTCTCCTGAGAATCCACAGCACTTACAACCCACCCACTGCCCATCTGTCATGCACCTCTGCCTCTCCTCCTACAGTGGCTGTCCACACCTTGGTGAATGGCACCATATACCTATCTGGGTCATCCAAACTGGAAACCTAGGCATCAGTCTCCATTCCTCCCTTTCTCTTGATCCCTTCCCACTCTGCAACCAAACATGGCACCTATCAAGCTGTTTTGTAATGACCTGTACACTGTGTGGTCTCCCTTGTGAGACCCTAAGTAAGGAGAAGGCTACAATCTTATTTGTCTCAATTCACCAATGCACACCCAGAGCCTAGCACAGGTCCTGGCTCATAAGTGCCAAGGTAAATGTCTGCTGAAAAGAAACCAATTATCTGCTGTGCTGTTTTTTGTTGTTGTTGTTTTCTGCACAAAAGCCCCCTCCTGGCACTTTCCTGGATCAACTCTCACACAGGGACAAGCCTAGGTTTCTTGGCAAAGGTGGGAGCAGGTAACTCACCGTCTTTCATACTCCATGTCCTGATAGGGCCTGCGGGGGCTGCTGGGGCCCCTCCTCAGCCGCTGGCTCCGTTTCACTTCCCAGCCACCCCCACTGCTGCCACCATGATCTGCCAGCCTGGGTGATGCCTCCTGCAGGGACTCTGGAGAGAGCAGAAGGAAGAAAGGGGTCAAGGCAGTTGGGGCAGAGAGGGCCTCCTTGAGAAACGCTTATTGCGAAGGCTTTCTGCTGTCCCTGAGCCCAGCGACGCTGTTTCCCAACTCCTAGCGCTCCTGTGGACCAGAGCAGGAAGGCAGTCCCTATTTGGCC